CGTTGGAAGACATTCTCTTGTATGATGTGTATGACAAGAGCAAAATGCACAAAACTCATGTGATGTGTAGAAGTGAGTTGGAAGATAGTTATCCTCCATCTAGGAGTAATTCAACAACATACAAAGCAATCAACACAACACTTTATCACCATAACCTCCACATATGATATTCCCTTTCTCCTCAATTATCAAGACAAAAATTAAATTGGCCACGACAAGGACCGATGCTTGGAATTGAAAATACACAATAAAGATTAGCCTCGACAAGGGCTTGCAATTTATCTACTTCTAAGCTTAACATATGCACGATATTCACAATTCGAAACTAGAAGGTCAAGAGACTTATCCAGGGTCCTCTAGACTTACAATTTGCTAGCATTCCCACGGCGAGCTTCGAGTTCCTAGAATCTCACCTACAACTTAAAGATGATTAAAACACACAAGGAATATTCCCAAAACATGATATTCACAATCAAACTAAAATTTAACCCTAGAACTTTGGTCGCTAAACCGTTTGTAATCCCCGGCAACGGCGCCAAAAATTGATCGGTTGGTCAATTAAACATCAACCTTCGCAATAGCACGAATCATTGTAAAATAGGGCTATTGGTCGGGTAAGTCGAACCATTGGGACTGCGCTAATCTATGGCAACCTAAGTGTCTAGAGTCATTTTAGAGTGATAAGGGGTGTTCATAGAGGGTTTGTTTTGTTTGTCACTAAACTAGGAATTCAAATGTGCATAAAACAATAGTGACTTGCAAGAATTAGATGAGATAGAACAATAGAGAAGAGACTAGGGAAGAGACTCCGGAACCATCAATAAGCATGCTAGGATATGATTTACTTAGGGGAATAACATATATGTATAACCATGGGATGCAACAACACAAATTATTACATTCCCTTCAAGAAATTTATGAAATCAATAGGTAAGAATAACCTATCAAAGCATTGCATGTTTTGGTTACCTAAACTAGGTTGTAACCTTAGACATACTCACTAAGCATAGAGTTATCAAGCCCTTAATCACATAGTAGAAGCACATGACATAGAATCCAAGAATAATCTATCAAAGGAAGATCCTAAGCAATAGATTATCAAATCTCCTAAATATCATGCCATTAACAACACTTCCATAAACTCCATTCCATTGTCACTATGAAAATATAGCAATATAATCATAGGAGAAAAACCATCTAAGACAAGATATTTAACTCAAGATGATTATGTATAGATATTGAAATTCATTACATCAAATGAAGAGCTCTAGTTCATGGAAGGATTACATACATATATTAACCCCCAAATATAAATCAAAACAAAGCAAAGCTTACAAAATGGAGCTTCATCACCTCCCTAGAGGAGGTTTAGTTACCCATGGTGGCCCTAGATGAAGGAAGAAGCAAGGCTTTCCCCTCCATTTTCAAGCTTCCTCCTTGAAGCTTCAAGAACTCCTCCTTTTTGCTTTCTTCTCTCTCCTCTATCTTCTCAAAATGAAGCTTTTTAATCCTGTGTCGCCTCCCTTCTCTTCTCTTGTATAGATAAGGCTCTAAAAACCCCCACCAACCAACATCTCCAACCAACCATTAAAGAGGAAAATTAGAATTGAGGAACCCAAGATGCAAGTGGCTGAAAATGGGCCATTTCTGGATGCAATTCTGCCCCAATTTCGAGCACTCGCAATAAGGGCTCGAGCACTCGAAATTGGAGCAGAATGCTCCATTCTTGCCTTGCTCCGCCCGGACCTACTTTGGTAAAATGGCCATAACTTTGTGCTCCAAACTCTAAATGATGAATCGTTTAAAGATTTGGAAATCTAATTCAGAGATCTAAAAACTTTATCTTTTGGTAGAGATCCAATTCTCAAGTCTGGTTGGTCAAAATTGAAGAACAAGGCAGAACTTCATTGCTGCCAGGCAGTTCTGAGCACCTATGATAAGAAGATCATAACTCTCTGGTCCGAACTCCGAATGATGAACCACTTGAAGATTTGGAAAGCTGATTCAGATCTCTAAGTATGTCATGTTATTATGGAAGTCCAGTTCTCAATTTTTCAAGGTCAAAATGGCAAGCAAAGTTTTGGATCTACTGCTGCCAGAAATTCAGTCTTGTGCCTTTTGATGGCCAAAACTCCACAAAGCATCCTTCTTGCTTCTTTTTGGCCAATGGACCTGAAAATATACAAAAACATGCAAATGAAAGTAATCTACATAATATAAGCAAACAATGGACTTAAGTAATGCAATTAAGGGCGCTTGAATATGCAATATTCGGCGCTTATCAACCGTGTACGGAATACTGTCTTCGTGATATCCTCATCCCTAACCCGCAACTGATAATAGCCAGATCTCAAGTCAATCTTCGAGAAACAACTGGCTCCCCTCAACTGATCAAATTAATCATCTATCCTTGGCAAAGGATACTTGTTCTTGATGGTGGCATGATTCAACTTCCGATAATCAATGCACAACCTCAACGAACCATCTTTCTTCTTAGCAAACAAGACCAGTGCGCCCCACGGTGACACACTCGGTCGGATGAAACCTTTCATCCTCAAATCATCAAACTGCCTCTTCAATTCTTCCAATTCAACTGGGGCCATTCGATATGGTGCCATAGAAATCGGCGCGGTGCCTGGCATCAAATCAATAGAGAACTCCACTCCTCAGTGTGGAGGCAACTCTGTCAAATCCTCCGGAAACACGTCTAGAAAATCACAAACAACCGCAGGATAATCCTCTTTCCCAACATCATCTTCTTCGGCTACAAGACTAGCTAAGAAATAATCACCATGACTTCGTCCATGAACTCCATAAAACGATGAAATGTGGGAATCACTCCGATCTCCCACGAAAAAGAAACAGTCTCCCTCGGGAGTGCAAACTGTAACCCTTCCTTTGTAACAGTCGATCATGGCATGAAATAAAGCCAACCAATCCATCCCAAGAATGACATCAAAGCTAGTCATCTCTAGGAGGATAAGGTCAAACACAAAGGTCCGCCCGGCTATCACAATGGAGCAATCCCGCACAACTCGGCTCAATGACACTGAAACCCTAACTGGCGTATCAACACATAACGCCCGATCCATGAAACTAACCTCTAACCCCGATGCAAGTGCAAATGATGATGAAATGAAAGAATGAGATGCACCAAAGTTAAACAAAACACGGGCCCAACAACCAAACACTGGAAATATACCTCGAAGAACTGACGGTCCAGAAGATGCATCAGTCTGTGTCAGTGCAAAAACACGTCCCCGAGGTACCTGTGCCTGAGGACTGCCAACCTGAACACCTGACTGCTGCACTGACATAGTAGGAGTATCCCTCCTAACTGAACGTGAACCCTATGAAGACATAGTAGGCTGTGGTGGTGGTGGTCTGAAACCTGACTGAACTGTAGCCGATTGTGACGGCCTCTGCTGTGACCCTCTGCCACTAATGGTGCCTGCTCTCTGACTCGGACAATCACGAATCAAGTGACCCTGCTGGCCACACCCATAACAAGCCTTCGGAGCTGACGAAACTGAAGACGATCTTATCGGACAACTGGACTTGTAATGTCCGGGCTGCTGACACTGATAACAAACAACTGCACTCCTGTTAGATCCAGCTGGCATAGGAGTGGTAGGAGCAGATCTTGTAGACTGTTGCCCCTGAAACTGAGATGGACTGCCCATTTTCCTTTTCCAAGAAGATCCCTCTGAGGATGGCCCTGCACCCATCTTTTGCTTCAATTGCTCTCTTCTTGCATCCTTCTCTTTATTGTCAGCCTCCAGCATCAAAGCCCTTTCCACTGCTTCAGAGTAAACCTTAATAAACTGTGTCGTGATCGACGGCCTCATTCTATCATTAAGACCCGCGACAAACTTCTGAGTCTTGTTAGCTTCATCTTTCACCACTTCTGGAGCAAAACGGGAGAGTGAGGTGAACTTGTTCTCATACTCCGCCACTGACATGTTCCCTTGAATAAGATTATGAAACTGGTCTTGTAACTCCCATCTTTTGGAAAGTGGAAAGTACTTCTCATAAAACAGTTCCTTGAACCTATCCCAGCTCATCTCTTTAATCTTGTACTGGTTAGTGATCGACTTTCACCAAACCTTGGCATCCATAGCAAACTTGTAAGTTGCTAGGATGATCTTCAAGTGATCCTCTATCACATCCATTGAGGTCAACTGAGTTTTGACTTGATCCATGTAGTTGTCGGCTACCATTGGGTCCACACCGCCCTCAAACATAACCGGCATCAGCTGAGAAAACCCCTTAATGATCTTGAGACGCTTCTGAGCTGGAGTCTCCTCAACTCGAACTGTAGGTTGTGGTACCAACTGCGGCTGAGCAACAATAGTTGCTCTCACGGCATTTTGCAACAATTGATTCAACTCTAGTGCCACAGAACCTTCACCCACTTCTACGGGTACAGGTGTTTCAACATTCTCTCTTCTTGGGGGAACAGCTCTTGGGGGAATCAAGTCCCTAAGAAGCATGTTCTCATCAGCTGGCTCCACCGGATTGGAGCTAGAGCTCTCACCAACATCGCCCCTTATTGGCCTAGGGCCAACTTCTCTAGGTTCCTCACGCCGTGACATCGTGCTATAAAACGAGAAAACGATTCAAAAACATGACACTAAGGTCCACTGTGGACGACTCAACAAGAATTAATACCGTACAACACTTAACATGCAAGACTATGCAAGAAACATTTTAACATAAACAAGTAAGCAAGTAAGCACATAGGCAGTTAAGCATGCTCATTTAAATAAGATACCACGTAGCAAGTAGTCAAGTAAACAATACAAACAACATCCTATGCGACTCTATATAGGCCTCTACCCGTCGTCCTAAAGGTTTTCGAACCTTTACTCTGATACCGAATTTGTAACGATCCCAAAACTAGTGCCAAGAATTTTTTTTTAAAAAAAAAATTCAGCATAACCTCCCCTAAAAATGGACCTACCACAACCTGTTTAAATGCATAATTAACTTGTCATGCAACTAATTTCCGAATTCACGGCAACAAAAGATAATGATACAACCTACTAATCTAGACAATGCTTCAAGCTAGGATTATCCTTCCATTCATCAACAAGTTACATATCATCAAGTTCGCATCCCATATGTCATCAAGTATCATAAGTGTACTACATGATCATGGTTCTTCAAAAGAAATTTACATCATTACACCTTTGGAATTTTACAAAAAATGAGGGATGAACAAAGGAGCAGTCTATTACAAAATAACAAGGAAAATGCTCCTCTAGCAACTTTCAAAGTTGGGGTGGATTGTCGTCCACCGGTTCTTTTCCAAGACCTGAAAAAAAATATATATAGATATAGGGGTGAGCATATAGCTCAGCAGAGACACTTAAGACACAAATCTTGTGTCCTTGTGAATTCAAGCAAAGCATAGGCCAATGGGAGATAGAGATCATACAACGTAGGGGATCAAATACAACATACAATTCAATTCCAATTATAAACAATGCAATGCAATGCAATGCAATGCAATGCATGTCAATGACACTCCCCATTTTCATTCTCAAAACCATCACTTTCAAACGTTAATACAGTCCGCCCTTTGGTAACCCCGCCGCGACACGAGAGGAGGATTGTCTAATGTCCCTGACCCTTGGTAACCCCGCGGCGTCATTATGGGGCCCAGCTAGCTCAACCACACTAGGGCGACTCCCTAGTCCCCTCTAGGCTATATTAACCTCCGGCCCGTTGGTAACCCCGCAGCGACCGGGTTTCGCATAAAATCATTTCATCAAAAACACTTTCCTGAAATTTCCCCTTTTTGAAGTAAATCAATTCTTTCCCTTTTCCTGCCCAATGTTAATGCATGAATACCTCAATGACATACACAAGTTCATCATTCCATACTTTATCCAATTTAAGTAACATGACATAATTCGCAAGAATAATCAAGAAAGTCATAACATGCTTATACATAACAAGTTCTAGCACAATGAACATATATAATCAAGTCCTAAACATGCTTCACATAGAATAATCAACAAATATAGTCACACAACTAACATATATGCATACATATCAACAATTCTCTAGATTTTAATCAACTAATCAAATTAACCAACAATTAAAGGCAATTAACTCACTAAGGTACAAGATTTCATGAATTAAGGGCCCCTACCTCAAGATTGCACCAAAACCCTAGAAAATGGGTCCTCAAATTCGAGCTCCAAGGAAGACTCAAAACTGGAAATTGATGGTATGGATGTATAGAGCTTGACACGAGCTTCGTTTTGCCTCAAACGGAACCTAATTCCAACAAGAAATGAGTGAGAAATCCAACCTCAAAGTTGAAACCAAAAAAATAAGAGAAAAATGAGCTTACGGGTTGAGAGAGAGATGCACGAAGAGAGAGAAAGGGAATCAGGAAAATGAGACCAACTTTATGGTCTTGACCCTTTTCTAAAGTGCCTTGTGGGCCCCACCATTAAATTATTTTTCTTTTACTTTTATAATACACTACACACACATAATAAATACACAGACATCACACATGTGGTCACATTTTATTTTTCTTATGCAACCTTTCGTCTTAATTAAAATATGTTACTTCAATTAAACTAATTTCGATCATCATTTATATATTCATCCAGAAAAATGTAAGCACATAAATGATGTTATCCAAACATTAAAAAAGAAAAAAAAGAAAAGAAAAAAAAGAGAAAAGAAAAAAGTGTCTTTGAGAGGAAACAAAATCATGAAATAACTTAATATAAAATCATTGAGATTCACATCACCTAATAATTTCTGTTTGAAACCTGATCCACACCATTTTTAAATGAGCTCCAAAAAATAGATTAAAACACACACACACACATGTAGGAAAAGAGAGTATAACCATCTCAAGTCACTAGTAGCATAGCATCACCAAGAGATTTTAACCACCATAATCGACACATAACATCCAAAGGAGTTTCATGGCTCTTCAAAACGAGACAACAAAATCATCAACGATCCAAAACTATCATTATATAAATTATAATGTTGTTTTAGGTCATCCGGAAGATCACAAAATATCTCGAACTTGAGTTGATCACGTCTCAATAATTCTACTGCCAATAGGAGTTGGGCATGGTTCAAATCTGAAACCTTAGAGACTTCTTCTGACACAGTCTTGGTACTCGGCTTAGGTGGTTCAGAGAAAACTTTTTCAAGGGAGTCAGTCATATGTTGTGATACCCCTTGATTTCGGAGAAGCGAGTTAATCAAGTCCACACTAAAAAATCAAGGGATATCAAAACAATTAAAGTATTTTAAACAAACACAGATTACAAAAAGAAATAAAAAGAATAAATAATTCGCTGAAAAAAATTTATTAAATAATAATTTCATTACTAATTTTCTAAAACTACAACTCGAGAATCTTGTAATTCAAGGACCCTTAAAAATATAATCCAATAATCTAGTCAACTATAAAATAAGTCTATCATCTAATAATGCATAAATATCCTACTTTGAAATAGGAAGAAAGAGTAGATAAGCCCTTAAGTTACGGATTCTCAACCTTGAGATTTGAACCTCTAATAACCTAAAAGATAAAAATAAAGTGGGTCAAACACACGAGCAAACTCTCTCTATCAAGCCTCTAAAAATCGATAAACAGACCATCTCTAACCAAAACCAATCCTAATAAAGTTTTAACTTAAAAAAAAATAAAATAAAGATGACACACACACACACATACACACACATATATAATTATAAACAATATAACAGTCATATCCATTAATAGGTTCATTAATCTTCAAAACCATTAAACTATGATTAAATCATAATCATACTTATACCAATCCACAATTTCCCCTTTCTTTTAAAGAAAAGCTCATTTAACCTTAATTCCATCCTAAACAGTTATTTAACCATTTAAATAATAACTTATAATTCAAGAAATGTTTCATTAAATCCGAAACCCAATAATCACCAATGAATGATTTTATTTATTTAAATCACATAGTAAAGATTTATACTTTGGCAATTCATCCATGCATTCTCCAATATTATTTTATTAATATTATAAAATAAATAACTACTCTTTAAATACTAGATTATTCCAATATAAGAATATTTATCACCTCCAACTCACATACACAATAACCATAGATGTAAATTTAATTATTTAATACACATAGCAATTTATTTATGCTTTGACAAATCAACCATGCCATTATAAATATATGGTGTCACCCAAAGTTTGTGCAAAAGAGAAGATGTTGGACTATGGTGAGTGTGGCCAAGTTTTACATTTATAAATTGTCACTACTACCTTTCACTAAAAATATAGTTAGGGTGAGTAGGGATCGTCCCAAGGGATTAGTGGGTCGTATTAGGTTGTGGAATCGAGATTAGGGTTAGTAGGTCAAGTGATCAAAAGATTGGTTGGTGATTGAATTATACTAAGATGCAATTTAAACTAAAGTAAACAATTAAATGCAATAGGGAGAAAATAAGATAGAGAGATCTTGGGATTTAGAGATCACCACTAAGTATAGCTTTTCTACACCCTTAATGAATGATTAATGAGGGGGAAAACATGTATTGCAACAATAGTGTGTGTGTGTGGTTGTTTCAACAAGCATGGATGACAAATTAAGCATATATTGTCTAAGCAACATGGTGGATAGCACAATATATCAAACTAAGTCATTAATCCTTTCTTTAAGCTCACAATCCAAACATTTCACAAGGTTAAAGACATATGCTTCTTGCTTTCATAAGTATGGAATATCAAACAACAAGTATGAATTGTCCTCCATTTAACATCAAAACTACAACTACACTACAATTAAACTAATGACATGAAATTAAACTAATTAAACTAAGGGAGAGGCACAATCCATCAAGAAATGAGTATGAACTATCAAATAAACTACAAGAGCATTCCATTAAGCACTATGTCTTGACAATCTCTAGATTTATAGCATTAATACACGTAAACATGCATCAATAACACAAAATCTAGAGACAAACACATGAACATCTATTCTAACATACATAGACATATGGATAGAATGAAATGATCAATTGGAAGCATTAAACCACACAAATCATTGAATAAAAAAGATTTATGTATATAAATATGTCAAAATATCTATTACAATACAAATCCCCTCAAAAATACATAAATCAAGATGTATAAAGTATGCTTAGGGCTAACTCTAGCCCCAAGAGGATGTCTAGCCACTCATGGATGGTGTCCTCCAACCCTCAAGGGCTAACTCTATGGAAGAAATTGCTCCTCTTCTTGGTTGATGGAAGAACTCCAAGCTTGTGTCTATGGCCTCCTCTCTTCTTTTCTTCCTCACTAAGAATATGATATGGAAATCGTGTCTCTAGTGTATGTCTATCTCTTATATGTGTAGAATGGCTCATATTCCTTATATAGGAAGGTCACCCCTAATTATATAGGAAGGTTAAATGTCACCCCTAATTAGCTGGGCTCGTACACCAATATTCCTTCCAATGATTGGATATGAGACAACTTTTAATGAGCTGGAAATTGGATTTTCTCGGGCTTGAGGAAGTTTGATCGATCGAACATGGCTGAGATCTATCAAATTTAAGCTGAATCGATCCTCTATGGCGGTGCCTTTTTTGGATAAAGACAAATTTGAGATATTTTGGGGAATGAGATAAAAATGGTAGGTGTGGTGGTACAACTAGATAGGATGGAATCTTTTCGATCAATCTGAAGAAAGTTGAATCGATCGAACTTTGTGAGATCTTTGGATAAGGACAAAAGAGCTTGGATCCATCTTGAAATGTTGAGATCGATGAACTTTCGATCAATCGAATATTTCCTAAGATCGATCGAACTTGTTGAATTTCCACGACTTGCTTCCTTTTGGTCTCACTTTGCTCCTTTCTTTGATTCATCTCAAGATTGCTTCAATTATGCTCTTATTTAGCTGAGTTAGCTTATTTTGGGGATAAGTACCTAAAAATAGAAATAATACAAAATCAATCTAAAGCGGGAAAATAAGATAGATAAAGGTTCTAGAATACCTAAGCTTAAGGGATTTAAATGTGCACTTTTCAGCGCTCATCACACCCCCAAACTTAAATATTGCTAGTCCCTAGCAATGAACTAGAAAGTAAAGGAATGAAATGAATAACTATACAACTATGAACTAGAAAGTAATAAATGGATAACGCCACTTTCGTAGGGAACATGATTATATTTAGCATATACAACAAGCCTTTTAAATCCCTAGGTTACCCCTAGTGGACGAGTGAAGTCTCGTAAGAGTTTCCAGGAGTGATACCCACAAACATTAAGCTCATTCTCACAAAAGAGGTATCAATATTGCAAACAAGCATTGGGAGAAAACTACCTTAAGTATGAAAATTTTCAACCCTTTCTAAACAATCTCTCAAAATTTCAACATCAAGCAAGCAAGTATGGTCCTCCACACATCAAGAAAATGATCATGAAAATCAAAACAACTTTAGAATCCTTTTTGAGTGGACCGGCATCAAGTGTTTTGTTATCTAAGCCAACTAAAGAAATGATCACATCCTTACCCTCAAACTAATACACAAATCTAGTGCCAATCATCAAGACAAAAAGTGGACCTTTTATTAAAATTTTATTGTTCTAGGTGCGCTTATTCTTTTCACTTGATTTTTTTATTTTTTATTTATTTATTTAATTTTTTTTTTAGGATCAAAGATGGAAGCATGGTACAATGTGTTGATTTATTAAGCTTTCTAGCGATTCATGAGGTCGAGCGTCAGGTCAATGACTCCCAAACCAGACAGCTTTAGGGCACTAGGCGTTCAAACACCCTTAAGGACTTACAAGCTCAAATCAATTAGGTTACAAATCAAAACAACCTCCATCTAATCATTTCCCACTTCTCACCTTTTTGGGAGAAGTCCTCACTTTTTCATTACTTTTGCAACTTCTTCTTCTTCTTCTTCTTTTTTTTTTTTTTTTTTTTAGATAAACAATTATTAACCTAGAGTTTGGGCCCTCCACCTTTCAGCGCGAGAAGTTCAGTGCTTGATGAGGCTAGAAGCCTGGCTACTTAGTGAAAAGGGGTTGTTATCTACCTTTATCAAGAATGAAAGCTTTCAATGCACTACTAGCTCAATTGGGATATAACCAATTCAATAATCAACAAAGCATGTACCCCACAAATGAATACTAGTGTGCGTCTGTGCTAGTGTAGAATCCTAGAGTGAATCTCAAAATAATCACAAAATCAGGATGATGTGGACCACAAGTGTAAGCAAGATATCAATCTTTCGAAAAATTTACTCCTAAATGGCATCCATAAGGCATACAAGGAGCATTGGACTCTCAAGTCAAGCAATTTTTAAATTTTAAGCAATATAGTCCTCAAAAGATCAAAATCATTGCTAGTTATGGACCAATCATAGAAAATTCCTCAAATACATAAGTCATGCTCAAAATTTTGAATTGAAAGCAAATACTGCAATTAACATCATTACCCCCCAAACTTAAATGGCACAATGTCCTCAATGTGCAAAGAGAACAAAGGAAAGAGTATACCAGTGCAGCTAAGCAAAGAATGATCGAGACACAAGTATCCAAAGTAGGTGGTATAGCCCTCCTAAACTTGGGATTAACTATGGTCCTGAAAAGATGGCACTGGATAAAAGTTCATTAGACACAAAGGGGATAATAACAGGTGCACAATGGACATGCAAGTGTAAATGGGATAAGAAATTGAAGTAAGGAGAGAGGAAAATGGTGGTCCTGAAAAATTCGGGCAGTACTCTCTCCCACTGAAGTCACTGGGATACACCTGATGGAGTCAATTACAAACAGATATATCAATACGCATATATGACATCCATAAACAAAGTATGCATAAAAGAGAAATAAAGTATTGTACAGTACATCCA